CCCCCCCCCCCCCCGGCCTCCCAGGTGCGACTGACACATCTGCAGTCCCAGCAGGGGGCCATCGCTGGCGCCCACCACTTAGGCTTCTTTGGGTCAAATAATTCTAACAGCCGCCTCATTAAACTTTTCTTAGGCCCAAATGAAAGCCCGTTCACACTGCTCCAGCCAAGTTCGCTAAGCAGTGAGGGGAATATTAAAATGCAGACGGCACCAGTTCTCCTCAGTGCTCACCTTCTCGTTTTCCTTCAGCGCTTCATAGAGAGCCTTCCGCCGCTGCTCCGCCACTTCCTTCCAATACTGGGAGGACGGGTTTTCTAAAAAACCAATGTTTTACATGAAACTGAAAGCCACTCCTGTTCCGGCTGCGGTGACATCCCCAGCATCCTCCTTTCTATTTAAAAAGCAATTTGCAGTCTTACTCAGTACCACCCATATCACTTGGCAATACCCCTTTCCTAAACCTGAAGTTAGAAAACCAAGTCAACTTTGTTCTATTTTATTTCCCCGACATTTTAGGGATTCTGACACATCCCACTGAGGGTCTGTAGAGAGTCGTGTGCTCAGTTGACGTCGACTGACATTTGTCATCTATGTGGTGACATCAGCAATATGGCACAGTCGTTTCTGTATGTGACTAGTGTTTTTGCCACCAAATCTTAGCCAAGTCAGTATGAGTGTCACAATCCCTACGGTTCACCCCACAACAGTACCGGAGAGAGAGCTGCTGTACTTCTCTGCAGCCACCGTTTCCTGACTTGTCTGATAAAACCCTACAGCCTACTATCCCTTTCCTTGCTGTCCTCCCGGCAACTCAGAATGAGCCCAACGGACTCCATAACCTTGAGTAAGTCAATTAACTTCTCTAAGTCTCCAATTTTTCATCAATAACAACATCAATGACCTTCCATGATGCTTAAAAACCATTGCCAGCTTCCTCTTACAGTGCCGCCTGCCATTCCATTAAACATTTGCATTTAGCCCTGTCCGGTCTGGCTCAGTGGATAGAGCATCGACCTGCGGACTCAAGAGTCCCAGGTTCGATTCCGGTCAAGGGCATGTACCTTGGTTGTGGGCACATCTCCAATTAGGGGTGTGCAGGAGGCAGCTGATCAATGTTTCTCTCTCATCGATGTTTCTAACTCTCTATCCCTCTCCCTCCCTCTCTGTAAAAAAAATCAATAAAATATATTAAAAAAAACACACACACACACAAAACTTGCATTTATTCCCGGCCCAGCGGCTCCCGTCCTCACTCCCTTGACTTCCGCCAGGCTCCTGCGGGCTCCCTCCCTACTTCATGTTCTCCCGGCACATTCACATTCCTTTCTTCAAACTCAGTCTCTAGACACTTTTTCTCCCCGAAAAGACTACTTCTGTCTTGGCAATCCCATATCCAGTTGTCATGTTAATCACTATCCTTCCCTTTAATATTCCATCCATATCTGGAACTTACAAAACAGTAAGACTTGTCCACGTTTGGTGTTGGTATTTTTACAACCAAAAGGAATGTGAGGGTATCGGAGCATCACAGTGAACTAGTAGTGTGCCCCGCCCAGGGGCCGTGGGCAGAGTCCCCAACAGCAGGAGGTAACAGTGACCTGTACTCCAAGGACAGTGTCTGCGATAAGGGCTCTCTCACACTTGCCTCCTACCTGCAGCCATGAGGTCCAGTGCCTCCTGGGTAAGTCCTCCGAGCTCCTTGCTCTCCCCGTGCTCCGGGACAGCAGGGACTCCAGAGCCGGAAGTCTTAGACGCCGACTGGTCACTGCGATGCTTCGGTTTGAACGAGCCTTTAACCAGCTGCCATGGAAATCCACACGTCAATCTCATTTGTTTTTCTCTAATAAGCAAGAAAGCTGGGTGCCCCTGGGAACCAGCGCAGGCCCGGCTTCTGAAGGTGTGTGTTTAGAAGGAAGAATCACCAGGGTAAGCCATGCACTGCTAGAGTCCAGACCGTGCAGCCCAGCTTCATCTGGAAGGTCATCTGGATGGTCGTTCTGCTGTTTGGTGTAATTAGTATATTAGCTCTTTATTATATAGGATTATAGTTGACATTCAATGTTATTATATACTAGTTTCAGGTGTATGGTATAGTGGTTAGTCAATTATATACTTTACAAAGTCATCCCCCTGATAATTCAAATACCCATATTGCCTATATTTCCTATGCTACATCCCCATGACTATTCTGTAACTACAAATTTGTACTTCTTAATCCCTTCACCTTTTTCACCCAGTCCCTCCCCTCTGGCAGCCATCAGTCTGTTCTCTGTATCTGTGAGTCTCTTTCTATTTTGTTTGTTTGTTTTGTTCTTCAGATTCCACATGTAAGTAAAATCCTATGGTATTGGGCTTTCTCTGTCTGACTCATTTCGCTCAGCATGATACCCTCTAGGTCCATCCGTGTTGTTGTGAATGACCTATTCACATAGTTTTGATGCTATTTCCTAAGGACAGTGACCCAGACTGTGTTGTGCTAAGAACACAGCTGCTTCCTTCCTGTGATCATTGGCTCACAAAGGGAGCTGGGCCTGAACTCCAGATGACCTTCCCTGAGAAGCAGAAGACTACACTCAAGTCCGCTGTGACACCCTAGAGTAGCGGTTCTCAACCTGTGGGTCGCGACCCCTTTGGCGGTCAAACGACCCTTTCACGGGGGTCGCCTAAGACCATCCTGCATATCAGATATTTACATTACGATTCATAACAGTAGCAACATTACAGTTATGAAGTAGCAACGAAAATAATTTTATGGTTGGGTCACAACATGAGGAACTGTATTTAAAGGGCCAGAAGGTTGAGAACCACTGGTCCAGAGAAAAGAGGGAAAAGCAGGGAGGAGGAAGAGCCACTGGCACAAGAAGAAATTAAGGATATCAAAAGAAAGAAACAAGTCAAAGATAATATAGAACCAAAATATAAATATGTAGAAATTTTTGAAGAATATGAAATTTGTTAAGAAATTTTTTGAAAGCTCAGTGGTCTTATTATTTGTGTGTTAAAAATGGAGCCGCATCTGTTTGTGTCTTTCTGACATCTTTGGATCTTCTTTAAAAAACCATACAGTTTAAAACTCCCCCAAAATGTAAAGGTCTGTTTTGGGAATTTTATTTGCAGTAACTGTTTGGAATTAGAGCTGGATCTAAGGCTAAACTGAAATTATTTTTATTGTTTAAATAATTCAGTTCCATAGAAAGGCAGTATTTTTTACCTGCAAAACTCTAGACACTTTCAACAATGATTTCATCATTTACATACAGAAGTAAATGAAGGATCCACCATTTTATTCTCAAAATAGGCGGCATTCCCCCTGTAGCTGACGTGTTCTATCATCTCAGCTCTACCAGTATTATACCAGCATCCTATTCATACCAACGTCAAACTTCCTCAATTGATCAGTTAAAACAAAAGCCACTTCTGTGGGGAGTACACAATTGTTATTCTTAAACTCCTGCCCAATTTCAATGACTTGGGTATTTCTAACCAAGGAAACCTTGCAAATGGTTTTCATGCACAGGTTCTGGCCCCGTAACACATACCTCGTTCTCTCTGCCGACGAGGGGCCCGGCTGTGGACGGCTGGATCATCTTCAGGGTCCTCCTCGGGACAGGACTGCTCTAGAGTCAAGAGAATCCGTTATGGGTCCCGAGCGCGGCAGGGACTGTGACTGCCTTAGCCTCCTACACTCACCAAAAAGGAACACAGACTGGACGGGCAGGAACAGGGTCACAGCTGTGAGTCCGCGAACCCGAGTTTGTTCTTGTGTTATCATTACTGACTACTGTACTATTTTCTATATGAACAGCGGTAAGCCTCCGTTGGCCCCACCCTGAATTTGGTCTGCTAGGTAATTTTGCAATGCTAGGTATGAACAAGACATCGGCTTAACCAACTATTAAACTTATTTCCCTAAAATTATAATAAAGTTTGAAGAAATTCTAAGAATGCATCATATCACCCAAACTTAACACATTTATGGTAGAAACCCAGAAAACAGGTAAATTGGGGAAAAAAGAGTAATTGTTCACACTGCAAAATACTTCTCCCCCTAATCGATAGGATTTGTCTCAGGCTTCCTTGGAATCATGACTGTCCCCGAACATCCCCACGTGTTCACCAGAGGAACAGAGTGTAAGAACATCCCTCACACACAGCCACGGGCATGTACCAGGGCCCTGACCTGCCGGTGGGAGCAGTTTGCTTGGAGCCCGTCCATCAGGAGACAGCTGAACTGTCAGCGCCTGGGGCACTGTAATTACTGCAAAAGGCCCAGCAGTTGTTTGGGGAAAACATGGCCTTCCTGGTAATATGTAAATACCTTCCCGTACATTTCCTGATCCGAGAGCTCTCTCTAGTTTTGCAAAAAATCATTAGTTATTCTGCCACCACGGGACAGCAAACAATGGTGGTACTCAAACAAGGTCAGCGGAGGACACCGGAGCAGCGTGAGAACGGGCACCGGCAGGGCGCACTCCAGGCGCGAGCTCACCTTTCCCACGGTCAAGTTTCCCTGCTGATTATCTCCCCATTGAACTGAAGAACCAATGCCAGCGACGGTGAGAACAAACACCACCCCAACATTTCAGATATAATTTAGATTAGTCCAGTCTCCAAATACTAGGAGAAACAAACACAACTCCGGAACCTGCACAACAGGAGGGTTTATTTAAGTGCTTGCTGCTAACAATGACCAAAGAAGCCACAATTTACTGTCACACAAAAAGGCAATTCCCAAGACTTAACTTTCATAATGTAAGCTCTATAGCATCTTATCGTTTCCTTTATACGGATTATGCATTGGAATGAGACTCATTACAGCCAAAAAGGTTCTTATATATTATGGGTCTTAGTCTTTTTAGAGAACAACTTGAGATTCTGTGAACCTCTTTAAAAAAATCTTTTTTATTGATTTCAGAGAGGAAGGGAGAGGGAGAGAGAGAAACATCAACGATGGCAGAGAATCACTGATCGGCTGCCTCCTGCACGCCCCACACTGGGGATCCAGCCCACAACCTGGGCCTGTGCCCTTGACTGGAATCCAACCCGGGACCCGTCAGTCCACAGGCCGATGTTCTATCCACTGAGCCACGCCAGCCAGGGCTCTGTAAACCTCTTTAAAAACACACACACCCACAAGAGCACACACACAAAATTTTGCATATAATTAGCAAGGAATCTATAGTAGAATGAAGCAATAACAAGCATCCTGTTTACAAAAAATTCCAAGGAATCTAATGAAAACTATCAGAACTAAACAAGTTCAGCAAGGTTGCGGGATTCAAGATCAAGGCAAAAAAATCAATAGTATTTCTCTATGGGAACAATGAGTACATGAAAATTTACCTAAGGAAACAACTCCATCTACAACATTAAAAATAAAATATTTAGGGAAAAAACTTTCCTGGCTGAAGAACAGGGGGTGTCCTGGCTGAGGGGCAGGGGGTGTCCTGGCTGAGGAGCAGGGGGTGTCCTGGCTGAAGAACAGGGGGTGTCCTGGCTGAGGGGCAGGGGGTGTCCTGGCTGAGGAGCAGGGGGTGTCCTGGCTGAAGAACAGGGGGTGTCCTGGCTGAGGGGCAGGGGGTGTCCTGGCTGAGGAGCAGGGGGTGTCCTGGCTGAAGAACAGGGGGTGTCCTGGCTGAGGGGCAGGGGGTGTCCTGGCTGAGGAGCAGGGGGTGTCCTGGCTGAAGAACAGGGGGTGTCCTGGCTGAGGGGCAGGGGGTGTCCTGGCTGAGGAGCAGGGGGTGTCCTGGCTGAAGAACAGGGGGTGTCCTGGCTGAGGGGCAGGGGGTGTCCTGGCTGAGGAGCAGGGGGTGTCCTGGCTGAAGAACAGGGGGTGTCCTGGCTGAGGGGCAGGGGGTGTCCTGGCTGAGGAGCAGGGGGTGTCCTGGCTGAAGAACAGGGGGTGTCCTGGCTGAGGGGCAGGGGGTGTCCTGGCTGAGGAGCAGGGGGTGTCCTGGCTGAAGAACAGGGGGTGTCCTGGCTGAGGGGCAGGGGGTGTCCTGGCTGAGGAGCAGGGGGTGTCCTGGCTGAAGAACAGGGGGTGTCCTGGCTGAGGGGCAGGGGGTGTCCTGGCTGAGGAGCAGGGGGTGTCCTGGCTGAAGAACAGGGGGTGTCCTGGCTGAGGGGCAGGGGGTGTCCTGGCTGAGGGGCGGGGGAAAGATCTGCAAAAGGCCACCAGGGAAGGCGCAGCAGATCCGGGGTGTGCCCGCCTCCGTGCTGGAGAACAGCACCCCAACCTCGCCCTTTCCCAGGCGACGGGCTGTGATAAACTCGGCAGTAACCCGGGAGCGGCTTAACATCCGATCCGGAGAGGACGCCCTCACATTGTGGGGCAGGTTTCCGCACCATCAGGAGCTGAGACGCAGGTAAGTACGGAGGCTAAGCCCGCACTGGGCCGGACTGACCCACGTTTGGCCCCAGGCACGTGTCTGGGGACCATCTGCCGAGTCGTGGCCATGCCTCTACTCCGGCCGGGGCGCCCACACTGGGACTGTATGACCCATCGCCCTGGGACCCCGCAGTCATCCAGGGAGTCACCAACGTCGTTTAGGAAAAAAAGTAAGTGATCGGAACGGAACTGAAAATACGCGAAAACGCGCGAGTGCATGGCCTGAGGGGAGCCGGTCCAGCTTCGGGAATGTGATGGAGCTGGACGGCTGCGATGTGCCTTCGTCCGCGTCGCATTACAAATGCTGACAGCCACCGCTCCGCGAAGGTCAGCCCTGCACCTGCGCGGGGCACCGCGGTCTGCAGACGGGCGCCCTGCACTCGCGCTCCAGTTCTTTTCAACTGAAGACACCAGCCCGGGCCTGGCTCCAAACGACAGGCTGACGCTCCGGGGAACCGGGGAACCGGTGTCACCAGCGCCAGTGCCGCTGCTTAACGAGGGGCCAGGATTCAGCGACCTTCCCCTCGAGCCCGGGGTGCGGACCCCACGCCCCTCGCCCGGATCACCGCCAGTCCCTGGTCCCGGGGGCGGACGTCCCACTTCCCCACCAACCAGCC